AAGCCTGCTTCTCCCTCTCCCACTCCCCCTGCTTGTGTTCCCTCTCTCGCTGTGTCTCTCTCTGTCAAATAAATAAATAAAATCTTAAGAAAAAAAACCCAAACCAAGCACTCTAAAATTAGAGCAGGTTTATGAATTGTGTTTCCTAGGATTGTGTGGAGTAAAGGAGGGATGTATGTAATGTCCTTAGCTTTTTGCTTGGAACATGTGAATGCTCAGAGAATGCTGGCTATGAACTGTGATTGTACTTGTGTTCCTCATCTTCCAGATTTAAAATTTTTTAAGAGCAGGGACTGTGAAATATATATGCTTCACGTACTGTGGACTCAACATTTTAGTCATTTGCTCATTTTACTTAATCATAGATTTTCATTTTCATCATAGTTTTTAATGTTTCATCTTATGTCTTGCAGTGATGAAACTAGAGGATCTGTTTGTAGGTGCTTCTGGTCAGTATTTGGCTATTCAATTCCATCTGGAGTGTGCATATATATTTTTATATTATTATGAATATACAAAAGCGAAGGATCAGTTCAACATTGCTAAAGACATCAGCAAATTACAAATTGATTTGACAGGTAAGACTTGTTACTTTTTGTGGATGATTGACTTATTTTTATGATAAAACTAATATAAACATTGGCAGTTTGGCTGTATTGTTTGGTTACATTTGATTTTTTCTGTTCTATTCTTTGCTTTAAAAAAATCGGTTTTAAAGATTTTATTTTAAAAAATTCACAGTTTTAGAACAAGTCTGAAATGAAACATTTTCTTTATTCCTGGAGATTCTCCTTTATTTTCCAGTCTGGTTAGCCACGTGTTAGTGATATATATATATGGTAGCCAGGTAGTACACAAATGAACTTTTTCTTTTTTTTTTTTTTTTTAATTAAGCTCTGTGCCCAGTGTGGGACTTGCACTTAAGACTCTGAGATCAAGAGTCACATGCTCTACCAACTGAGCCAGCCAGGCGCCCCCACAAATGAACTTTTGACCATTTGTTGATGGGTGTGAGTTTCCTGAAGTTCCTCCTGACTCCCACATTTGGTGTGGCCTCTTTACATTGCCCTTTCTTGTAAATACCCACCTATGGCTTCCATCTGCTTTTTTTGTCTTCAGAACAGAAATTGTCGACTGTTTTAGATTCAGTGCCTTAGCACACTGGCGTATTGTTGGCACTCAGACATTTGTTGAATGAACAAATAAGTTAAAGAATTTCTCCAGAAACCTCTGTATTTCTTCCGAATACAAAAAAGAAACATTGGTCGCTTTTTATGTCTTGCTCTATCCCTGGGGTGTTACAATATCATTGCCATTCAGTATTGATCGTGTTAATGAAGTCCCACAGTATCAGTTCGAGCACACCACTTACACCTCTGGAACCTGAGTTCAGCATTCCAGGCCGTGTCTGTGAAGGTCGAAGTGATTGAACCTATTTGTCCTTCCTGGACTTCGTCTAGATTACTCTAAGGTCCATTCTTACCCCCTAAATTCTGTGCTTCCTATTCAGCTGGTCTTGTCAATAAAATCTTTCAAGTATATTATGAGTTAAATATGACTTTGTGGCCTGGTCTGGGATCTTAGCCATCTTTTGTTACATTGTTTGTATGGGGAAAATTATTAAATACCCAGCTTAGAACTTTCGGAACAATGGCCATATGTAAGTTGGAGTCTTGTCTGTATTTGAAAATATAGTTCTATATAATATAACTTGTGAGGTTAGCTTCAGAGATTATATTTTTAAATGTTTTGGCCCTCTGGGACTTTTTTGGGGCTATTTAAAAACTAATGGCACAGTATTCTGTATAGTCAGCTTTAACTGCTGGTATATTTACTAGCTAGTTCTTCATATTTTTTTCCAAGCTAAGAGCAAAGAACTTAAAAATACAAATGTGGTACTCACAAATATAAAATGAAAATCAGATTACTATTTTTTTCCATTAAACTGTAGCCCTTCTATAAAAAAGTGAGCTGTTAGACCATCTCAGTAGCTGTTTTTGTGTAGCATGTTTAAAAGGTTGATGTATAATTTAGATCCAGACTCACTGCAGGATAAAATCCAGACTTCTTAGACTGGTCTTTACAATCAAGGGTCTTTGTAATCTGAAGCTTGCCAGAGAGTGGATATTAGAACTGTTGCTTCTATTGAAGCTATTCTGTAGCAAGTTATTTCGGATATAAAATGGAAAAAATGTTGGTGTTAAATGAAGCCAGATAGAATAATAGAAAGACTGTTGGATTTAGAACCTGGAGACCCTGGCTTTAAGCTCTGGCTCTGAGACTGAAAGTCCCCGTGATCTTAACCAAGTAACTATACCTCTGTTTTTCCATCTGCTATATGAGGATGATGATACTTCTTCTACCTATGAAAATTTTGGGGGAAGGAGGTAGTTTGATGCAAAAGTGAGTATCTGTAGGGGCGCCTGGGTGGCTCAGTTGGTTAAGCGACTGCCTTCGGCTCAGGTCATGATCCTGGGGTCCCAGGATCGAGTCCCGCATCAGGCTCCCTGCTCAGCGGGGAGTCTCCTTCTGCTTCTGACCCTCTCTCCTCTCTCTCTCATTCTCAGATAAATAAATAAAATCTTAAAAAAAAAAAAAGTGAGTATC